TGGTAAGTGCCATGTCCCGTGCCGCAGACTACACAGTGACAGAGGCAAGCCTGGAATTCCAGAGTCCTGGTCCTAGCCCTGACCCCTACGTACTTGACCACATTGCCAACGGGAGCGAGGCTGGCACTAGGAGCCGGGACTGGCTGAACTGGAATCATAACCCTTCCCCTGGCTGGGAATAAGGAGATGTGTTTGCATTGGTGAAGTTGGGTCTATTACCAGTAGCATTTCTTATGTGTATCTGTAGCACTTAAGAGCCCTGTCCTGGCCCAGGACTCCTGTGTGGAGGTGCTGTGCAAACAGAACAAAACAACGGCCCCTATCAACAGCATTCCTCTTTGTTCTAGAACTGCTATCTCACATTAAGGGGGACTTTTAGGGGCAAATTCTAATTCAACCCAGCTGCCCCAAAGTGGCCGTAGTGCTGCAAAAGCACCGTTAATATGCACCCAAATACAAGTTCCTGCACCATTTTTGCCTCATCCCACACAGGTCATCCCTGCTAGAAGGGCAAATAATCTGTATGGGGGTATGTGCCCAGTGGCCACTGCCAGATCAGGGGAGAAGTGCAGGGACGACAGCTTCGGATCCTTCACTCCCACCCTGGAATGTCTGTCGGCATCTCCTGGTTAGAGAGAGCCAAGACAGAGTGACACCTACCTCCCTGCTTGAGACACTTGGTAGGGTGACCAGATGTCCTGATTTTATAGAGACAGTCCCGATTTTTGGGTCTTTTTCTTATATAGGCTCCTATTACCCCTCCTCCCCCGTCCCGATTTTTCACACTTGCTGTCTGGTCACCCTATGCTTGTGTATAGCACCTCCCACAATACAGTGCAGAGTGCTGGTTTCTGGGGTCTCTGGCGTTCATGCATATTGACTCATGCTAGCACGTGCAGGACATACAGGCTGGTTTTCCAGTATTGCCAACCCCAAGGGTTCAAAAATCATGTGACGGGCACTGAAATGAATGAAATTAGGAAAAACCCCTTGTTTTTAGGACAAATACTAAATGTTGGGTTCTCTTTCTTTGCCTTCCGGTTTCTGAGCCTGTAGGCTTCATGGGGGGGTGGCATTTACAAGCTTTTCTCTGAAATCCTGAGGGCTAGAAACATCCCTTACCCTTTAAAAAAAAAAAAAGGCGAGGGGAGAAACCTGAGAGTCTCCCCTAATCAGTTAGCTCCAGGAGCTGGGACTTTAAGATAAACACCAAATGTTGCGAGACTCACAATAAATTCCTGAGAGTTGCCCATGTTTCCATCCATGCTGGCACATAAGCCAGCATGATCCCTCGACCGAGTCAGTCCCATTCATAACAATAAGGGCCAAACTCCTCTCCCCAGCACAGCAAAAAGCTTAGGGAACTGTCTTCCCTGCACTGGTTTGCGATCTCCCTCCCATCTATCCTGGAAACCCCCTGGATCTGGTCATGACGCCCCTGGGGATTGGAACCCTGGGGTCGAGAACCTCCTCAGCCTTTGGGACAGGAAGGATCCATTTAATCCTTCCCCTGGTCTGCTCCTTTCAGCCCCCCTCTCCTCCCAGTACAGCAGTGTGCAGGGAACCCTAATGGGGCTCTGCTCCTTGTTTCCGCTGTGGGTGCAGAAATATACCCGCTCCACTGCCAGATGGCCTTTTGCACACACACGGAGCGAGGGAGCAGGGTTTGCCCTTCCTAGTCCAAAATGAGCCAGTAGCTACCCATACTCCCTCTCTCAAATGTGGTCCAGCCTCGCTGTGTTTCTAATTAGCACCTTTTATTCCTACTGTTACGTTTCCTACTTTAAAGCACACAGACAGTACATTCTGCAGACAACACCCCTGTTTGTTAAAAGGATTTGCTCTCTGGTGGGATATTTTCAAGCTGAACACACAGAAGATGAATCCTGGTAATGGTACCATCCTTTTAGTAACTAATTCTCTTCCGTTCTCCTGCCCCCCTGGAGCAATGCACACTGATTGCATCCTGGAGCATGTGTAAACTGGAGACTAGGTCCCTATTCCCTGGGTCCCGGACAGAAGGCATGAAAGTGAGTCACAAAAAACACTCAACGGATCCCTCAGTTACAAATGCTGCCATTGTGGTGCCTTTTAATGAGGCACAGTGGACAGGGCATGGAACTGAAATGCCCCATCCAGCCTCTGAGAGGCAGGGTGAGGCTGACCCACCGGTCTCAGTTTAGGACCTTTCCCATTTACTGTCAGTATTTTCTGCTCTCCCCACTGACTGCTGGCAATGCGCACGCCTTGGAGACACAACCAGAGCCCAGGGGACCCACCATCGATTTTGTTTTGGACCCAATGTTTTTTTCAAAGTCATCAGACTAAACCCTGAAATCCTTACTCAGAATTTACTCGCTCCAAAGGGAGGTTGCCTGAGTTAGGACTCACTGAGCTGCACCTGGGGACTTCATTGATTTCAGAGATTGAGCTCCTGCAGCAGCAATCAGGCAAAAGTCCTAGTGGGGTAGTTGAGTAGAAGCTGAGGAAGGGCCTTCGGATTTGGCCTAGCATAACCAAAGCCCTAGATATATTGTGACAGAGTGGATCTATTTCCCGGTGCACATTTCAGCTCGGACTCGCTTCTGCCTCCAGACCCCAGGTGGGCTGAGGCCTCTGGTGACGGAAAGTGAACCTGGAAGGTGTCACAGTGATGCAAGACACTAGCAGCCCCCTCATGCAGGGGCCTGGAGCTGGCCAGAACAGCCCAGAAAGTAGATGGGGCCAGAAGGTGTGGGAGGGGAGGGCAGCTGAGTGACGTGCTGGTTAGTGCCGCTGAGGCAGTCTTGACCAGGAGTTCTATGGAGCCCAAGATGGCGTTGCAGCTGCCCTGTACTGATGTGTGGTGAGACTGCCCTATCTCCCTGGGGCGATCGCTCTTGTGTGCGGCTGCTCCAGTAGACATTGCCCCTTCACCCAGGGATGAACCTACCCTACAAATGCCATGGTTTGTTGCAGACTAACAATTATATTCTAAGACAGCTGGTCAGTGTCTCAGCAGAGAAGCCAAGGTCTGACTGGGCCTGGATACTGAACTCCCCTCTTGCCCATAGAGGTGGCTATGTTAGGCCAGGATGTGGAAGCCAGTGCTACCGTTCTTGCTTTGTGGATAGGTCTTCAGCTTCAAGGTCAGCTAATCTGTCACTTCCCCCCAGGAGACTCTCTTAGCAGTAGAGAAGGAGGTTTCTAAGGCCAGGGTTATCTAAGCTTTCCATTCTGGAGGCCCCTTTGTAAGAAGCGTAGGACTGGAAGGGACCTCGAGTGGTCATCTAGTCCAGTCCCCTGCACTCAAGGCAGGAATAAATATTATCTAGACCATCCCTGACAGGTGTTTGTCTAACCTGCTCTTAATCTCCAATGACAGATTGCACAACATCCCTAGACAATTGATTCCAGTGCTTACCCACCCCGACAGTTAGGAAGTTTTTCCTAATGTCCAACCTAAACCACCCTTGTTGCCATTTAAGCCCATTGCTTCTTGTCCTATCTTCAGAGGTTAAGGAGACCAATTTTTCTCCCTCCTCCTTGTAACAACCTTTTATGTACTTGAATGGGAGCAAGAAGATGCATGAGACTAGCCCCACACAACGTGTGCACACACGTATAAGGCAATAAGTGAATCCCCAGCCTTGTAAATATATTTATGCACATTCATCGGATCAGGGCAGTGAGTCCAGACACAGCAGATCCGAGCCAGGCACATTCTTATCCACTCCCACATACTCCCTGCCTAAGTCATGCCACAGAGGAGACAGCTCAAGGAGAAGTTCCAATAGCTCTTGGAAGGTCAGACGGAGGCTCTCTCAGTGTTGGGATCAGAATTTTGCTAGCCACACTGCTATTGCTAATGGGGTTCTAGCAGTCTTTCCTCATGCACTATGGCTAAAGAGGATTTTGTCTGAGAAGAAACTTAGTACACTTGATGTACAGTGCCTAGGGCGAGGGGTGGACATGTATGACAGTATGTCTACAGTATGACATGGCTACGGAAGAAAAAAATCTCTGCCCACAACAGTCAAGGAAACATGCCGGAATCCTAGCATCCATTACAAACCATTGTTACTAGGACAATTCTCACCCCTAGTCTGCATTTATAAAAATCCTGTCACTGGTTCGAACAGCTGAACGGATGGAAAATACTGCCCACAGCTGTAGGGACGGGCATACCTGATCTCACCCATGACGTGTATTATATAACATTCCCACTTGTGACAGATTTTGGTAATCTTATGCAGGTTCAGACAGACAGATAAAAGAACCAGAAAAGGGCTATTAAATTGGGATCAGCTCACGTGTTTGTTTTTAACCTAGAGGTTGGGTTCATCATTTTTATAAGTGGCAAATGAATTCCCCTCTGAGTTGCAGACAACAAAATAAACACCCGGTGATCCAAACGCTGCAAAATAGCGTCCCCCTCCCCAGGCTGACAAGGCACTCGGAAGGTCTGGGCTCGAGTTTCTGGTGGGTGCCCTATGCTATGTGTTAAGAAAGGGAAAATTATACTCTAGAGTGAAAGGCAGCCAGGACAAATCAGCCATTCTTGGGATGTCCCCTCTGGGCAACCAGGTGCCAGCAGCAGCTTAAAAGGGTCTAGACTCACAAGACTGTCTGTACCACGCTTGAATGCATAAAAAGCCAGACCAAATGGATGCTGCTGCTGCAACCTCTAATGACTACCCACGGTCTGTGTATGCGCTACCCACCCACGGGGCTTGCAGACAAACACACACATGCTCCTAGCCGCCTGGGCAGACGCCACATACAAGACGGTACCAGGGTCTCTCCCTTCGTTTCAAAATCGCAGCGGGGCGCACGTTGGTGGCGCACTGGGCAGAGGAAAGACGCCGCTGTGTCTCGCGTAGGAAATTCACATGCGCCTTGCAGAAACCGAACTAGACACGGCGATGCTTGGCAAGGGGCGGGCGGAGAAGGGGAGGGGGGCGGCAAGACCGCTTTTCCAGAGGGATCTCGGACACACACACACACACACACCCTACCCAGCCTCTATTGGCTGCAGAAAGCCAGAGACGCACAAACCGAAGGCGAAGCGCCTCCTTCGTCAACCAGCAGCACCAGCCCCCTCGCCCCACCCCACCCCCTTGGGAGGGAGAGCAGCATTGCTCGGGAAACAGTTATTTATTTATTTAGGGGGGCGGCTGATGGGGGGGGGGAGAGAAATCATGTGCCTGCTCTCCCCTCCCCCCCCCATCCCCAAGCTGGGATGAATGCACCTCAGATGTTGTTTCTGCTGCTCTGATGTTGGTGGCTTGAGAGCCCCCCTGGTTCAAAGCGAACCGGAGGCGCTGGCATTGACAAGCGGGTCAGTTTCACGCTCTTGCTGCCCAAGCGTTTGGTTCCCCTCGCTAAGCCCCGCGCCGAGCCACCTCCTCCCCGCTGCAGGGGGTACAAGCGAGGGGCTCCATCATGGGGTCCAGGCTGAGCAGACAAAGCAGCCTGGAGGAGGAGAGCGCCTCTGGAGAAGTCTCGTGCCCCAGGTTAGCTAGGAAGGAGCCGCACAGGAGGGTGGAGACTAACCGAGGGGACTTTCAATTCGCTTCCCTGATCCTGAACTCCGAGAAGCTGTCCAGGAAAAACCACCCGGCGCCCTACGTGAGGAGGGTGGGATGGATCCGAGAGATCCAGGCGACCATCCGGGAACACAAGAGAGAGCACGCGGTCCGCATTCTCAGATTGCTCAGAAAGGTAAATGACTGAATAGTGCAACGGGGGGAAAAACAGTGCATGGAAAATAAATAGTTATTTAAAAAAAACAAACCACCCAGCAAGCAATGCCAAGAGAAGTGCACGCAAAGACTAAAGTGTAAAAAAGTGCATGCAAAATGCTGAACAAAGCAATGCAGACAAGGGGTGCTAAAATACAACAATGCTAACTAGCAAGAAAGCAATGCGGGAAAAATGCAGGGGAAAATGCTGAAAAGCTATACACCAATGCAATCAATAAATAAAGCACTCAAAAACGAAGCAGTGCAAACTAGCAAAGAAGTCACACAGAAAGTGTAAGCAAAATTAAGCAGTAAAAAAAAAAAGCAGTGGAAAATGCATGCAACTAATAGACCCATTTTGAAAGTAAGCAAGGCCAGTTAAGAAGTGCTTGGAGGAAAAAAAAAACATTGTGCTGAAAAAGCCATGTGTCAGTGCAGGCGGGTGCATGCAAAAAACAAAGAAAGGGATGCTAAAAAACAAAGCAATTCCACCCCAACATGACAGAGCAGGGAAGGGGTTAATCTTGGGAAGGGCTGTTATGAACTGGGCGTAACTGGGGCTATGGCAAGACAATAACCGTTGGTCCTGTCAGTGAGAGGAATAGGAGATGAGGAGGGGGGAGGGGTTCGGATTTTTCCTCATTTTGAAATGAATTTTTCACATGGTCCCTTTTGCAATGAGTTCAAGAGCTGCCTCCGTGAACGGCGCCTGTCGCGGCCCTTATTCACAGAGGGACGCTCCTGATTTGGAGCAGAACCCTTTCCGCTTTTCCCATTGCTGTGTTCGACCCCAAACACTCTCCCCACGGTGCTACAAGGCGGGGTCGGATTTGCCCCTGTCTGGGGTGATTTGTGCACAGCCCTCCAGTGATTGCTCAGTGGAAGGGGGTGTGTGAGGGGCTGGGCTCTTTGTGCTGCTTTAGCAGGGCGTGCTGATGCTGGGTCAGCAATCCCACTTTGGGTGTGGACGTGGGGAGAGGGAGGCAGCCTCTTTGTTCCGTACATCACCAGTGGCACGAAGGATGGCTAGAGGCCCGGGAGCGCTGAAGGCTAGACATCGAGACATGCATCTGTCACTAGCATCTTACCAAGCCTCGGTGTGGGGGAGGAGGCGAGTTTAACTAGATCCCTTAGAAAGAGGGGGTGAGTGGGAGTTAAATGACCGTAACCACTCGGGACACAACTGAATCTGTGCAGTTAGGGATTTTAGAGCCAAAAATCCATGACCCAAACTCCTCCAGGCAAGGACCTTGGAAAGCTACCTACTAATCAAGGCCATTTTATGCCAGAGTCTAACAAGAGAGTCAGCCCCCTTCCATAAATTAATCCTGCCTGTTGATTCTATCAGAATGGGCTACCGAGGAGTCTGGGTGCAGGCTCTGGATTGGAGTAGTCTATTTTTTGGGGGGTCAAGGTCCAAACGATCAAGGTAAAGTCAAGGTCCAGACTCCAGAGAAAATACAAAACCAAAGATAATGATAATAGTAAGTAAAGATTTCAGGGTCCATCCAAAACCATCTGGTGGTCCGGATTTGGCCCATGGTCTGCCTATTGACTACCCCGGATACTGAATGTCTGTTTGAGGATAACCTAGTCAGGGAAGGAGAGGTAAGCGGGTCAGTGGATCACAGGCAAACTTGTTCTTGTCTGTCTCCATTCAGGAAATAAAAGGGAATATACAGACAATGCTGTGCCAAATTGATATAAGGACACAATTATTACTGTCCTGGAACAGGTCCATCCACTCTGGTGTCCTGTCACAGACAGACAGGATCAATGCAGGCACAAGGGCCGCCCCCTGCACCTAAGTTTGTATTCTGTACCTTAGAGGGACACTTCTCCCTGACCCCAATGGGTGGACAGCTTCTGAGGACTGAAAGCCAGCCCTTACAATTTCTTATCCTAGTAGGTGTCATTCTTGTTCAGATAATTGTCTAATCCTCATTTGAAACGTGCAACATAAGGCTGATTAGTAAACTTACTTAAAGTGTAAACTCTTAGGGCGGGGGCCACCTGTCATATTTGTGCAGCACCTAGACTAATGCGTTTAGGGCTTCTATGCACTACAATATAATAATTATCCTGTAGCAGAGAGTTCCATAGATTCATTGTGTAAAGAGTATTTTTTTTCATTCTACAACATTTGCTCACATGAGTAACCTTACTCGAGGGATTACTCACATGAGTAAATAGCACTTTCACAAGCAAGAATTTGCAGAATTGGGACCTAACGTAGCTTCTTAATTTCAGTGTGTCCCCTTGCCGTAGAATTTACACTACCGCCTACCTCCTTAACATACGGGCTCAATACATTTGTCTTTGTGTTGGCATAAATACAATATTTCTGTTCCTTTACTTTAAATCATTTTGAGGATGTGTTCTACAGAAATCCTGTGGGGTGGGGGGAAGGGGCGCTTCATGCAGACAGAGGTCTAAGAGGGCATGAGAGACATCATTATTCCAAGAAGCTTGTGGGGGCGGGGGGGAAATAGGCTGCAACTTGCTTCTGAAATGCGGTGATGTGACAAGAAGGGACTTTTGTAGGCTTTGCCAGAGGCTGGAATTACAGAGTGTCATTTCCTATGGTGCTCAGAATCTTTTACCCAGACAAACATTTAAACCCCTCTCAGATCTTGAAGTCTCCAGAAGGGTTATTAGAGGGCAGCTGGGATTTTCATGTTGAGTCATCGGGCCATCTGGAGTAGAAGGTCATTTTGAAACCTTCCTTTGCACATGGCCTGACAGTTTCTTTTGGGTCCAGCTATAGGGCTGCCAATAGTCCCTTATTAGAAGGGACATCCCTTATTTCTTCATCTCTAACAAGATCAGGAGTTGCTGAGTGCTGCAAGCAGCAGCAAGAAATACTCTGGCAAACGTAGGTGAACACTGCTTAGTATTAATAAATAAATAATAATATTGGGAGGAGGGGTGGGGCGGGGGTGCTAAGAATACAGTCCCTTATTTTTGAGGTACAGTGTTGGCAACTCTATGCTAAGCCACGTGCCCCCCATCCTTCCCACTTCTGCAATTCATCTGAGAAGAGCCGGTTACTAACTAACATTTCCCTTTACCTCACTTTTTCCCCTGGTCCCTGTCTCAGGATTGCCAGTTGTTTGTGTCTTAGGGCAATAACCTACCGTAAAGGATATAGGTTCATTCTCACATACCCATGCTGTGTGGATGGACACACAGAAATTGGACATAGTAATTATCATGGCTGAGTCAAGTGGAGAGAATCCAGCCAACATTTATACCAACGACTACCTACTGCCCGGTGTGCTTTGTAATTTCATTTAGTAGAATTGTTATTGTGCCGTTCCGTGGCTAACCGTTGACAGGGCCGTGGGACAGAAATAGCATTATTGCTGTCCTAGCTTGGTCAATAGCATTGGTGGCAAAACAATTGCCTGGCCAGCAATTAACTGAAGAGAGTCTCATGAGCCTGTTAGCCGTTTAGTTTCTGCTTTGCCCTTCCAACCATTCCTCTCTTCCTGCCCTGAACGGGTGTGGCACATGGAAGCATCGGCTTCCACCTTCCTTACCTTGTATATTACAACCCTCAGCTCCAGTCTGTCACGGGACATCCCACATTATACAGACGGGCTTACATTAACAACAACAGGCACGCAAGAGCCACAGAGCGATGGGCACAGGTGGGGGTCTGGCGGCTGTTTGGAGGGAGTGAGATTCACTTGTCCACTATTACGGGGTTCAACTTCATTTCAGACCCTACATTGGAACTACAAAAACTGTCCCTGTGCTGGGCTGCAAGGAGATGGGGCGGCTCAAGGAGCCTAGCAGGGGTGCTGGAGCTGGTCATCTCAAAGGGGACAGGGCAAGGGGTGGCTGTGACCTCCCCCTCACGGGCACTGAGCAGCAGAGATGAGCCAGGGCAGAGGGAGCAGATGCCTTCCCCCCCCAGAGCCTCATGGGTAATTATTTCTCCTCCTGCTGCTGCAGTGTGCCCAGCCCTTCCTGCCTCCAGTCCAGGCTTCTGACAGCCATGCTCTAGCCCTGGATGTTTACCTGGCAGTTTTGTAATTTTATACTTTCAGGGCCAGTACGTGCAAAGGGGGGTGGGCAGTATTCCATTACCACGACACAGGCCAAGCAGGGCTTTGGGTGTCAGCACTGGGACAGCTCCATTAGCCACTGCAAGCTGCCATTTTAAAAACCAGGAGCCAGCTCCTCTGCGGGGGTCAATGCGCATGGCTCCATTGATGTCGGGGAGCTGCACCAGTCTACACCAGCAGAGGATCGGGCCCAGGTGAGCTACACGGATTGACACCAGCCAAGGATCAGGCCCACTATAATTAAGTTAATAGAACATAAAAATGTAAATGGGTCAAAACCATAGGTCTGTCCTGTCTGCTAGTCACAAACCAAACTCTTTAAAACAATATATTCGGGGGGCAAGGGGTGAGGATCGACTAACAAGTGCTTCTTGGCTGAAAACGTATAGACCAGAGGTTCTCGCGACCCCCTTCTGACAACAAAAATTACTACACGACCCCAGGAGGGGGACCGAAGCCTGAGTCCGCCCGATTCCCACTGCTCTGGGTGGGGGAGCCAAAGCCCGAGCTCCACTTCCCTGCGCAGGGTATGGATCAAAGCCAAAGCCCTAAGCCCCACCACCCAGGGCTGAAGCCCTTGGGCGTCGGCTTTGGCCCTGGGCAGTGGGGCTCGGGCTTCAGCCCCACGCCCCAGCAGGTCTAAGCCAGCCCTGGCGACCCCATTAATGGGGTCCCGACTTACAGTTTGACAGTCTACACCAGCGGTTCTCAATCTGAAGGGACTATTTACAGCTACGTTATTTCCAAGCCTCTCCCCAGGAATGCAGATTCCTCTTTAACTGGATAGCTCCAAAGGGTGCTGCTGAACCTGCGTGTTTATTACGGCTGGAGTGTTTCCAGCCATGCCCCCCCTCCCACAGCTTTGTACTTCACACTGTATTTAGGAGGGTGAGAATAGGACTACAGAGCCTGTGCCAACTTCCCCTAAGTGTTATGGTCAAGCCAGGTGCTGGCATGATGCTCTGATGCGTTCCTAGCCCATGCCTAGGTGTCCGTATCAATAGCCCTGTGTGGCAGCTTATTCTTATGTTGTTGACCCATAAATTATATTGCTCAGTTTGCTTGGGGATATCCTACTCCTGTATGAATCATCGATGCACAGAAGATGAGCTAACATGCACTCAACTGCGTCTCTAGTGCACGTGATCTCGACTTCCTTTCTTCATTGGATTTGGAGCCAGTGACTCTTCTGTATCTTGCTCTCTGCTTGGGGAGAGGGAGTGAGGGAGGGGTGTTGCTTTTTCTCTTGCTGCTGTCTAGGGTCAAGATACACCAGTTCTCTCATGGCTCTGTCCCCCTGGGGACGTGCGTGCACACAGCTCCTTCCTTCAGGGCTGCTGATTTCACCCTGCGCTGTATTAAGCACAGACTCAGCAAAGTAACGAGAGCACATGGGACACCCATTTGCTTGCTCATGTCTCCTGGCAGCAATGCTCAGATTGAGCAGATGTCTTGTTTATTCCTTCATCTGAATCCTCCATGTCGATGGAACCAAGTCCCTCCCCCATGGGACTTCTCTCATTCCTCCCCCTTCCCTGTCAGCTCCCTGCCACTCCTGCCTTCATCCTCCTCAGAGCATGTTCTGCTGAGTGCCTCTGTTTCCTGGCCCGATTTCCTCTCTTCTCCTCAGTTTCTCATCCTTCCCGGTGCCTCATGACATCTCTATTTACCTTTGCCATACCGAGTTTCCCTTGGTTCCCATGGGGGCTTCCGCCTTCCCTCCTAGCATAGAAAAGCCTCCCAAAGCTTGGTCCTGTGGATCGTCACATGATTCATCCTGTCACCCCCACCACCACCCAGGAGACTTTTCGTTTGCAAACAGTCTCCCAGGCTCTCCTGATGTTCCTGGTTAGCGTAAGTCACAGGATACCCTGAGCCCGCAGGTGAGCTTCGGGACCATCGTCCCGACCAGGGCTTGTGCCAGGGATGCTGAGAGGAGAGAAGCAGGCTGCTGCTTCCCCGTTGATACTGCGAGAGCTCTAGGGGACAAAACTACAAATAGATTCATCACTACAGTTTTAAGGATCCCACTGGTGCTGCTTAGGTAGCCCTGTCCAGCCTCTGACTCATAGACACTCACTCCCCCAGAAAAGGCTGCGTCTGAACTAGCGGTCAGCTCTCTCAGTGCCGGTGCTCCTGCCCCATTCCTACGGGGACTCTTGCTGGGACAGGGCAGAACTGGAGTAGCTGGGAGCTTGCCTATAGCCTCTGCTTCTGTGGGCTCCCGCAGGGAATGGAGTGACTCACCTTTCCTTGGCTAATAGAGTGAAACCTTTTCTACCCCTCATACGATAGACAGACAATCTCCAGTCTAGACCAGTGGGTCTCAAACTTTTGTAGTGGTGACCCCTTTCACATAGCGAGCCTCTGAGTTTGACCCCCCCCTTATAAATTAAAAACACTTTTTATATATTTAACACCATTATAAATGCTGGAGGCAAAGCGGGGTTTCGGGTGGAGGCTGACAGCTCACGATCCCCCCCTTGGAATAACCTCGTGACCCCCAAGGAGTCGCAACCCCCAGTTTGAGAACCCCTGATCTAGACCAACCCAGCTCTGTCCATTCAATCTGTTTTATCCAGCCATTCATCCAGATACTTAAAGCGCCCCCATCACAATAGTGCCTGTATCCAATATATTTCTGCTCCATCATTGTTAGGCAGCTTCCTCCATTACTCAATCTGTTTTTCTTGGGCCCTAGCATGGTTGTTTTATGGCTTTCACGCTATGTTTTTTTTAAAACGTAGCAACTGTAAGTGGGCCCTGAAGAATGGAGTCTAACTGCCTGTGTTCTCTCCTAGGACCTGGGATTGGAAGGTACGTGCCTCAGTGAAGTGCTCTACAAGAATGCTACTTTCCTCAACTTGGTGGACCCCATTTCCCACGACCTGCTGATGAACCTCGCTAGAGATCTGCAGTGCCCCAAAAAGGTGAAGCCCACTAATACAATGATCCCTTTGGGAGAAAAAGTTGACCCCAGGAATGAGATTATTGAACTGACCAATGCCACTCCAATCTCCGTTGGGTTTGGCTTAGGATCTGTAGTTCTCTAGAACCAGCTAACCTACTCCCTTGGAGTGACACATAAATAATCCCATAGATTAATGATGCTTTTTTTAATGACTTCTATATAAGAGTGTGTGTGTTAAGTGCAGAGAAGTCAGGAAATTCCCTCCCACAGCAATAGTAAACTCGGCCACAATGTGCATGGATGTTTGTGTACAAATGGGTGGACAAATGCAGGTGCATCTAGGAAATCCACCTGTGATTACCATGCAGGCCCTTGGCATGCATTCACTAACATGGTCTGGCCACACAAATAAGCTACATCCATGTAAAACTGGTATAACGGAGTGGAGGATCAAGCCCTCTGATTTGTGTGCCTATCCTACCACTGCATTAGTGCCAGCAGGATACTCTAGAGTTCCTTATTTAAGGAGGAGGAAAAATCAAATGACGGCACATCAGACTGAACAATGTATTGTACGGTGGGGTGGTGAGAGGCAGATGTGTGGGGCTCCAGCTATAGTTCTGCAATCTCCCAAATATCTCTGGGGCTCTGCAGATGCAGTGTTCCTGTGCGCACATGCAATCAGTCAGCCATTTAGCTAAACGCAGGTACCTCTAGATAGATACCCTGTGAGCCCTCTGTGTGCACGACTCCCGTTTAAGTCAGCCAGCTTCCTTTGCAGGAGTGGGCTCTTGGGACCCCAGGTTATTGAAAGAGCTCAGGGCCAGATTTCCAAGGGCTTAGCACCCACATATCGGACTAGATATTTAAATGGGAGCGAACCTCATTTGAAAAAGAGCCAGATTTTAAGGAGTGCTTCGCCCCCGGCGTCTCCCATGAGGACACTCGGAGACAGATCTTCAGAAGAGCCCAGCGCCAGCCGTTTAGAGCTCTTTGAAAATCGGTCCCCGAGTAGGTGGGCTGAGCTCCTTTAAAAATCTGGCCAGTAGGGCCTGTTCCTGCAGTGCGCCAGGCTGCCCCTGTGACCTGAGTGGGAGTGGAGGGCACGCAGCACTTCGCAAGGTTGGGCCTTACATTGTTAAGGAAAACCCCGTCCAGCGTGCGCGCAAGGTGCTGCTTCAGCTCAGTTAGCGGTGCTGGGTGTCACACGGCCTTCCAGGGGAGGTGGGGATAGACGGTGCTACCTTCTTCTGCTGGCCTATTGCTTAGCAGATAGATACACACAGAGTGCAATCGATGCCCCTCCACTCTGCTACACACCCTCAGTTGCCCTTGAAGTCAATGGGAGCTAAGTTGAGGAGGGGATGGGGCTCAGCACCCCTCAGGATCAGACCCCCAGGCACGTAAAGGGATAAATAGAAGCAAGGCGGGTGGCTGAGCTCTTCTTTCTGTTTCCCATATGGGTACCCGGCAGCACAAAGCTCTGGATTATAGACATTAGGCAAGTCATAGGAAGGCGGTGCACACTTTCCAGTCTCAGTTAAAATCAGATCAGGTTTCTAGTTACAAGGACACCTAAGGATCAGGAGGCAGGGTCTAAGCTGTAGGAACGGCTGCAGCAGACTGCGCTAGGCTATAAAATGAAAGCCGGCAAACACAAAGGCCTAAGGAGCTTGGAAAACACGTAACATAATATGGGACGGCGTAGGTCCCAATCCCAGCCAGCGCAGCAGCGGGTTGCAGAGACGCAAGCAGGGGCATCCTAAACCGCAGGGCTCCTGCCAGTCAGAGTGGGATTCTATGGGGAGGGCTGCAGCAGAGCAGGTGTCCACAGTGCACCCCGACCAGCTGTTTGCTGTAAAGCCACATGCTGGCATTATACGTGCCCCCTGTCCCGAGGGAGCTGGGATGCTTCAGCTGCTTCCTAGCAAAGTTACGGTGCCCAGCAGCGTGGTGCTCCAAGCACTTGCCATAAAGAACGAAATTAGCGGAATTATTGACAGCTTTACCCATAGAGTTCCGAATTACACGCGCTGCGTTGCAGTCGCACAGCTAAGGGCTGGGAAGCCAGGCAGCCATGAAGGTTTTTCAGACAAGACAGAGACATTTGGGAATCCTCACCTGCTGACAGTGTCTCAGCCTGGCCCTCTCTAAGCACTCACATCGCTTTCAGCACTGCCCGTCGTCATTCATCCCGCAGCATGTGCAAAGAAGAACTCGAGCAAGCAAATTCAGTTATTTTGGTGCCATCTTGTATCAACGGGAATCACTGTAGGGAATGACATCAAACCACTGGCTGTGGGGAACTCAGCAGGACTCTTTCCAGTGGCCCAGAGCAGAAGTCACTGCAGGAACATGGGGAGCTCATAGATACTCCAGTTCCAGCCCCTCCCAGCAGGAGGCAATGGGACAGGAGTACTGGTTGTTGAGATTGCAGTACTTGAAGGACCGACGATAAATCACAATAATAATGTGATTTAGGGATTGGGAAATATTTTATCCAGGTAATTTTAGCCTGGCTGCGTAAAACTATGGCAGTCATCCTGGAATTTCCCTGTCCATACTCAAGCGGAATGTCCCGTCCCCCCCCCCCCCACCCACACACACGCACGCACGTAAAAATCAAATCAATTCCATTTGTTATGCAATGTGTAACCTCCACCAGCCAGTAGTTCACCCTCTTCCCCGCCATACCTGCTGCTGAGCACTGGGCCCTGATAATCCCACAATGTTCCCATGACACTGTCACAGTTCAGAGCGACTGCACCTATATTCCCCCTCTGTGGTCCTTCCAGAGTATGCGCTTTAGACTTCCAGCTCGTAGCTGTCATCTATCTTGGGTGAAGACCCACGTCTCACTCCATCCCGTCAGGGTTTTAAGGCTGCAAAGCTCCATGGATTACACCGCAACATCCCCAGCAAGCCAGACTGTCCAAATAGGCCAGTGCCTGCACTTTGCTTTTCTCTGAGGGCTATGACCCATGTATTGCCCAAAGTTATAAGTTACTATACAGCTCCTTCCAAGCAAGCACCTTTATTTTTAAGGTAAAAGCATTGTAACAATAAAGACACACTAGAAAGTTTAGCAGAAATCACTTCAAATCAACCTGTGGCTCTGGTAGGTTTTAGTCCTTCAAACCCCACAACTGGTTACAAGTTCATCTGTCATAAATCCAGCACCGGACCAGACACTGCACAGATCAGCCATTTCTTTATACAAAGGCCTGAGCTGATCTTGGCCTTGTGTAAAAGGTAATCATCAGACAGGGACCCTCTCCTCAGGGCACAGCTTTGAAAGGCTGAGTTTTTGTATAATTGAAATGAGAAATTTGCATTCACCTCACCCTAGGAATTCCCCAAGAAATCCTCTTTCCACTTATTGTCCAAAAAGTCCAGATTTGTCTGGCACATTTGTAGTACAGTCTTTTGAATTCCCATGTCTCTCATCTGTCACATCTGCCCCCCGAGAGGTTACTTTTATGTATCATTGTGGGTCAGGAATGTATGTAATACAGTAAGATCTTCCTAAGATATTGCAGGAAATTGCCCTGTCAGACAGATGCCTCTGTGCAGGAGACAGACAGGTGGGCGGAGGTGGAAATCTTCTACTGCTTGCCCCTTCTTCTCTCTCACCCAATTCTGGTGTGGGCAGCTACTGCAAATATCCTGCAAACCTCTGCCTTGCATTCCCCATGCAGACAGTCACACTCAGGGCACCAGAGAGGGCTGCAAAGGGGTTGCATTGCTGGACCCAGAATTCCTCCTGCAGATTCCCACGGTTCATAGACCAGGGTGGTAGCCCTGCTTCTCTTGGAGAGGGGTGCAGTATGCTTTCCACTCCACACCACAGCACCTCCACAAGCCAATGCCAAGGTAGGGGGTGGGGAGAGAAACAGGGCCATGCGCCCTCCTCCCCGCCCCCCAGCTCTTTTCAGATAGCTACTGCTTGCCAGCCTCTGCACAGGTGTTCAGGGGTGGGGGTAGCTCCTTGCCCCAGGGCTGGGCAGAATCTGGTCCTCAGTGATGCTGCAGAAACCGAAGCGCTGTGATCCTCCCATTTAAAACAAACACAAAACCTGCCGAGCGCAGCTGGGAGGGTGGAGTTTGACAGGGCTAGAGTGGCTGTGCCAGGACAGGGATATGGCACAGTCCCTGTGTGCTGGGAACACTCACAGGGATCGATTCTCCACTGTCGTGCACCTTGGTCACCATTCACACCTGTACAAAGTGGGGGATAACACACTATTTAATCAGTGGGAGCATCTTACAACCACTTTGCCTTGATGTCAGCAACTCCACCACCTACCTGGCAATGGAGAATCAGGCCCCCAGAGTCTGTCTCCAGCTTCCACGGGCAGGGCCCAGTTTAATTCTTTATGGTCTTCATACCCTGGTGCTTTGCAAACAGCCTCCCTGTTCTGAGTCACTCCTAGCACAGCCAGCCTGATGGGTGCCATTTATTATTTAGTTACTACCAGATGTGCCTGATTCTCTAGAGCAGTGGTTCCCAAACTTGTTCCGCCGCTTGTCCTTCGGCCTGCGCCGCTTCCCGCCACCCCCATTGGCCTGGAGCAGCGAACCGCGGCCACTGGGAGCCGCGATCGGCCGAACCTGTGGACGTGGCAGGTAAACAAACCGGCCCGGCCCGCCAGGGGCTTTCCCTGCACAAGCGGCGGAACAAGTTTGGGAACCACTGCTCTAGAGACAGGAAAATAAGGCAAGATTCTCGCTCTGAGGAGCTTGGGCCCAGATTTTTAATTTATTTAGGTGTTGCTCTGCTCAGCATGGCAAGGCCTAAGTAACTTAGGCGCCTAAGGGCTTGTCTACGCTTACAGTGCTGCAGTGGTGCAGCTGTAGCATTTAGGGAAGATGCCGTCTATGCCAACGGGAGAGCTGCTCCCATCGGCGGAGGGACTCCGCCTCCATGAGAGGCAGTAGCTATGTTGACAGGAGAAACCCTCCTGTTGACAGTGCTGTATACATGGGAGGCTAGGGAAGTATAACTAGGTTGGTCAGGGGTGTGGATTTTCCACACCCGTGAGGAACATAGTTATCCCACCATAAACTGATAGTGTAGACCAAGCCTCAGTCTCATAGAAGCCTGAGTCCCATTGACTTTCAAAGCCCTGAATCACTTCTCAAAAGGGGAGTTCGCCATCTACGTCATTTGTGCCTTGCAGACACTGAGCAGAGAAACATCCACATGCCGTTACAAATTTGGGCCTTACAATCTAATCACCATGGCGTTCCACCATGGGTATCCAGTACTCACAGAGATCATAAGCAATCCCTTTCCCTGGAGCACTCAGCCTGTCAGGATGGACCGTCTTGGGCAGGGATTCTTCACAGATTTCATTCTGAAAAGCCCTTGCTAAGAATCCCTCTCCACACGCTGCTCAAGTCTCAGAATGGTTCATCCCATCACAAAGGGCTTAGTGTGAGACTCTGTGCTCTAGGGCAGCTTCTTATACAAAAAGAAAGAATAAAACACATTCAAAAAGAGTTACATTTTGAAAGTGTCTCCACAGGGGAGCTTGGCTAATGCCTTTCCCCACCCTGGCCCCAAGTTATACTCCCTGGAACAGGTCAGGAAAACAGTTTTCTTTGAAATTTGTCATGTTTTCACAGAAAATCCCAAACACCAAAATTGTGGGGGTTTTGGGCAACCAAAACCTGAAAAAAGTTTCCCCAATTTCGGCAACAGGAAAACCAATGTTTTTCAATTTTTGGTTGTCAAAAATGGAAATTTTTTGGCTCTTCTATAAAGCCTCCAAGTTTTCAATGAAAAGGGAATTTCTCTGGTGAAAGTTTCCATTTAGTTGAAAAACCATTTTCCATCCCCCCATTGCTCTGCTCCGCCATGGATACGTGCTGTTGGATGTATTGTGCTGATTGCAGAGTTCCATTCCCACGGCCCATTCCGTGACGTCACAGCTCTGTATGTTTTCTCAGCGGGTGGTGGAGTGGAAGAATAAGTTAACACAGAGTTCTGTTTGTTGCCCTGAAACATGTTGATCATAAGCTGTTGCGGGGTTCCGTAAATGGAGACTGAGCATGCCCATTTATAGTTTTAACTATATTGTGTAGCCAGTAGCATATGCTGTTTTTCTGGTGTGAGTAATGGCGTATGCTGTGGCATGTTCGAGATGGAGACCCTTGGAGGGCTACAGTGAATGATGTGACCAGGGAATGGGATTTTATCGTCTCCTAGTAAGTCTTTAGCCTGAACTTTGTATACGTTTTTGCACGTTTTCAGGTGCAATGTTAAAGTGGGGGTGGGACAAGCCAGTGATGCAGGATGACCTGGGAGCAGGAACTGGCTGGATTCCAGAGCTGTTCAATTCCAGATTTTCTAGCCTGTGCAGTGTTTGAAGGCGCAAATATTTTCCATGGATGGCCAGGGACGAGAAGGCTTCACGTATAGAGCTGTAGTTAAGTTGCTACGTTTCCCTCCCAGTCTGAAGAGGGCAAAATCCAACAATCTCCCCATCCCAGAGCACGCCCAGGGGTTAAAATATAAATACCCACCCCCACTCCACAGCCAGAGCAGGAACTATCTATCAGAGCGTTAAAACAGATCCCTGCTGGGCAGGAAGCCCCTGACAAGAGGGTGACTCCCAGCCCTGCTCCCCCGGGCCACGTGCTGTAGGGAACCATAGGCACCCCTGAGGCACTGCAGAGAGAGTTTACAGTGGTCTCAAGCCTGACCTGAGGGGAGGAGCCACAAGCCTTCTCTCCAGATTTGAGGGTGGGGCGGGGGCGTTCCCTTTCCTAAGCCGAACTCCCAGCTCTGGAGTTCCTGTCACTAGTGTTCTTTCCCCTTCCCTTTGCTTCCCCCTTTTACATTCCTCCTTTCCCTCTTCTGTTTCCCACTCCCTTTCCCCTGCCCGTTACCTCACCTCCTATTGCCCCAATCCACTGCCCCATCTTTGCTTTTACCCCTCTCTCGTTCCTGTCTCTATCTCACCTCCCCATCCCATCTGTCCTCTCGGAGGCTCTCTAAAGGTTCCGCGTTCTCCTGGTGGCCCAGGAGTGTTTCCAGGATGCGTCAGAGTCGCGGAGCAGGAGGCTGAGCTGTCCCTTTGTTTCCAGGAATACGACCCCTGGAAGTCCGCGGACAGGATCTGCAGGCAGCTGATTTACCACTTGAGCCCTCACTCCACGTGGCATAGGCACGGCATGCCCCGCAGGAAGTCCCAAGCATGGTGAGCAACTCAGCTGGGAAAGGGAAGGGGAGGTTAGGAGGGGATCTGCTCGGTCACAGCCAGCTGGGAGAGGCCTCTGTTCACTGCCATGGTGTGTGCTAGCCCAGCCCTCTCTGCACCCTCACGAGCCAAGAGAAAATCAGGTATAGCTAGGAGGTGTTAGGGTCACACTGCAGGCAGCCTTCCTCAGTTTCCCCTCCAGATTACTCAAATAAAGTTCACTTCATTTTTTTTCCCTTAGGCGAAATACACCCCTCCTGGGAGCTTATTAATACAAAATACACTGACAGTCACTTCAAACCCCAGAACAAAGTCCATTCAGAAGTGCACAGAACCCAAGATTTCTCTTCATCCTCCCAGGCCACCCTGCCTGGAGACTCTGCTACAGCTTCCAGCGCAGCCCCGTCCCTCTCCCTCCTCACTGCAACTTCCTGCTCCAATTCCCTTCAGGTGGGGCTCATCCTGTAATCATCGGCTAGAGAGCACGGAGCTAAGCCAGCCCTGGAGTAAGCCACCCTGTTACATACCCCACCCCGCACTGAAAACCTTGCCCACCCCAGAGCAACTTCTGCTTGAGGGAATTTTTCTTCTTTTCTTCCCTAATTACTGAGGTCTTCACAGCTTGCCGGATTGTTTTCCATCTGCAAACCCTCTAGCTCTCCTTCAAGTTCGCTCTTTTCCCCTCAGGGCCAGCTCCTTGGCTTCTTCCAATGCAGCCAATTTCTGTTGGCTTCTCTGCCAGAGAGGTCAGACTTTCTCTAGCCCCTCCTGCCAGCGCTGCATTGCAAAGACTCAGACTTTAAGGCCAGAAGGGGCCATCACAATCATCTAGTCTGACGACCTGCACAGCACAGCCACAGAACCTCACCCACCCACTCCTGTCATAGACCCATAACCTCCAGCTGAGTTACTGAAGTCCTCATATCTTGATTTAAAAGACTTCAAGTTACAGAGAATCCACCATTACTCCAGTTCACACCAGCAAGTGACCCATGCTCCAGCTGTAGAGGAGGGCAACACCCACCCCCCAGGTCTCTGCCACCCTGACCTAGGGGAAAATTCCTTCATGACCCAAAATATGGTGATCAATTAGACCCTGAGCTTGTGGGAGACCCCCACCAGCCAGACACCTGGGAAAGAATTCTCTGTAGCAACTCAGAGCCCTCCGCATCTAGTGTGCCAGCTCTAGCCAATGGAGATATTTGCTAATAGTAGTCATGGACTGGCCATATGTCATTATAGCCAATCTCATCATACCACCCACTACATGAACTTATGAAGCTCAGTCTTGAAATAAGTTAAATTTTTTTTTGTCCCCACATCTCCCCTTGGAAGGCTGTACCAGACTTGACTCCTCTGATGGTTAAAAAAACCTTCATCTAATTTCAAGCTTAACAACATATTTATGACCAGTTTATATCCATTTGTTCATGTGCCAACATTGGCCCTTAACTTAAATAACTCCTCTCCCTTCTTGGTGTTTATCCCTCTGATGTGTTTATAGAGGGCAATCATATCTCCCCTTAGCCTTCGTTTGGTTAGGATAAACAAGCCAAGCTCTTTGAGTCCCCTCTAGTAAGGTAGGTTCTCCATTCTTCTGATCATTCTAGTAGCCCTTCTCTGCACCTGTTCCATGTCTAAGAAGGATGAATTCAAACTGGAAGATCAGAATTACACACAGTATTCCAGATGAGGTCTCACCAGTGCCTTGTATAATGGTGATAGCACTTCCCTGATGCATCCTAGGATTGCAGCCATGAAAAAGGCTAATGCATCACATTGGCGGCTCACATCCTGTGACTGACCAATACCCCGGCCTTTCTCCTCACCTCTTGTTTCCAACTGATATGTCTCCAGCTTAAAGCAAAAATGCTTGTTGTTAGTCTCTAAATGTATGACCTTACACTTTGCACTATTACATTTCATCCCATTTCTATTACTCCAGTTTTCAAGGTCATCTAAATCTTCATGCATGATGTTCTGGTCCTCCTCCGTATCGGCAATACCTCTCAATTTTGTGTCATCCGTACATTTTATTAGCTCACACACTTTGTGCATCAAGGTCACTAATGAAAGTTTTAAATCAGATTGGTCCCAAGACCGATCCTTGAGGAACTCCACTAGTAAGCGCCCTCCAACCTGACAGTTCAACCTTTCAGTATGACCCACTGTTGTCTCCCCTTTAACCTGTTCCTTACCCACCTTTCAAGGCTCATATTAATCCCCCATTGTCTCTAATTTAACTAATAATATCCCATGCGGAACTGTATTAAATGCCTTACAGAAATCCAGGTAAATTAGATCTACTGCGTTTCCTTTGTCTAGAAATGCAGTTATCTTCTCAAAGAAAGATCAGCTTGGTTTGGCACGTTCTACCTTTGGTAAAACCATGTTGTATTTTATCACAATTACTATTTACCGCTATGTCCTTAACTATTTGCTCTTTCAGAGTTTGTTCCTGGACCTTGCATACAACTGAGGTCAAACTAACAGGCCTGTAGTTTCCTAGCTCACTTCCCTCCCTCCCCCTTCGTAAATATAGGCACTATATTTACAAGTCTCCAACCATAGGCCATGACCCCGGAGTTTACAGACGCCTTAAAAATCCTTGCTATTGAACCTGCAGTTTCATTGTAAGAGGTGCTGCCCTGGCTGCAATGTCCACTTTCCCTGCAGCCTCAGTGTTGGCCCCCTCTCCTGAACACAACTCTGCCATTCTGTGACCACCCCACATTTGGGTCATGTTTCCCCAACAGCCAACTGGGGCTTTGTTTCCTTCCTCCGCTCAGTCACAGTAGGGATCGCTGTGGCCAGCACCACCTCACTTGTTTCCCTCACCTCCAGCAGCCAGGGCCAACACCCTTCTGCAAACACACAGACTGTTCCTCTTTGACTCGCCCTCTCAGTTTGCAGGGCTTCTCCCTCCCCACAGACCTCAATATTCAAGGGGCAGGCCCTCTTAACGTGCCTGGCCTTTCCACCTCTAAAACCCTTGGGTGGACCCTTACTCCAGGTCCCTGCCCTCCCAGGCATCTGGGCCCCAAGCCCCACCATGTGTAAATTCTGCTGCATGGCTCACTGTGCCTTCTGCTCCCGCTGAGGAACTGCCTGCATCCATTGCTGCTGGTCTGCCAACAAACGACTTCTTCCATTCAACTTGTCCCACACCTTCACTTTCTCTCCTTGATGGGAGGGGCCCTGGAGGATCCTGCTGGCTACACTAGTTTTAACCAGGCTGGTTGCCTTGTATGCATCCCCTCATGGCTTAGGGTCACATGAGAGGCAGTCTGCCTCAGTTTCCCCGCTTGGGCTGTTCAAATAAACACCTGGTTTTTTCAAATAAACTTACAGTTTTTTCTTGGTCAAGAGAGACCCCTCTTTGGGGACTAGACTTATTAATATCAAATAAACTGTAAATAAAACCCCAAGCCAAAGGCCATTCACAAGTCCACACCACCCAAGGTTTTTCTTCCTACCATATGGCTGCACTGAACAAAATGGGGGAAGTGTCAGCTTCTATTGAATCAAGTTCGAAGGCAGATCCCAGGGCAGCTGGGAAAGATCAGGGCAGGGAAAGCACAATCAGGGATGAGCTCTCCTCTTGCCTTCCCCGTCCTCTGCCCTCTTTGGCTGCTGGTTGTCATGGAGCAGACGCAGAACGCCCCGTTCTCTTCTGAAATGCGATTTCCGCTTTCTGGCAGCAAGTCAGATGGGCCCGGAAGATCATTAACAAGCCCTGCCATGGAGAGAACTGGGAGCATCTGCCAGGTATTAATTATGTTTGGGCTGTTATGGAAATATAGTTATGTGGGGGGAGGGGAAATGAAATGGAGGTTGCCACATTCCAGGGGGTCCATGCACCAGCCTTTCATCTCCAGGAGAAAACCAACGGGTCGGAATGGAACCAGGTACAGTCCTGTCCTCAAACACTCCAAACTGCCCAGTAAATCACACACTGAACTACCAGGAAATCCAAAGGTAACGGGGAAGTATCTTTTTAGACCATTTCAGTACAGCAAGGCTGGGAGTGTTTAATCCTCCTTTGTATGGCTCAGACTTCTACCTCGCAGGAACAGTGAGACGTTACCCAGGCTATCAAGCATGCCGTTGTAAAACCCAGTGAAATACTTATGCTAACACACTATGTTAGTAAAGTACCTCTGTCATGCAAGGAGCGTCGGAGCTTTACGTTTCTCAGTCTGGACTTCATCTTCCTTAAGGACCAAATCCTGCTCCTAGTGAAGTCAAAGGCAAAGCTCCCATTGACTCCCGTAGGAGCCCCATGTTGTGACATAAAGCACACTCAGCTGGTCAAATATGAGCTGTAGCTATGAGTAGGGTCCTACCAAATTCATGGCCATGAAAAACATGTCACGGACTGTGAAATCTGGTCTTTTGTGTGCCTTTACCCTGTACTACACAGATTTCACGGGGGAGACCAGTGTTTCTCAAAGTGGGAGTCCTGACCCAAAAGAGAGTTTCAGGGGGGTCACAGTTATCTTAGGGCGGGTCGGGGCAGCTGAAGAGCGACGGCTGTTGGCCAGGCGCCCAGCTCTGAAGGCAGCGCCCCGCCAGCAGCAGCGCAAAAGGGTGGCAATACCAGGCCATGCAGCCCTTACTGTTGCCTGCAGAGCCGGGTGGCCGGAAAGTGGCGGCTGCTGACCAAGGGCCCAGCTCTGCAGGCAGCAGCACAGACGTCAGGGTGGCAATCCCATACCAGGCCATTCTTCTTTCTGTGCTGCTGCTGGCGGCGGCTCCGCCTTCAGAGCTGGGATCCCGGCCAGCAGCTGCCGCTCTCCAGCTGCCCAGCTCTGAAGGCAGCGCTGTCGCCGGCAGCAGCACAGAAGTAAGGGTAGCAGTACCACCCCCACCCCCTCTAATAACCTAGTGACCCCCCACAACTCCTTTTGGGGCAGCACCCCTACGAATACAGCACCCTGAAATTTCAGAGTGAAATTGCTGAAATCATGACGTTTACAATTTAAAAAATCTTATGACTGTGAAATTGACCAAAATGGACCGTGAATTTGGTAGGCCCTAGCCATGAGCCAACGTGCTGTGGGCCATACAATGGATGGACACAGTGCTCTGGTCTGTGGGGTAAATGCCTTCTCTTCTAAGGCATTGCTGTGAAATCCTGCATAGCCATAGGTGCTAAAGTAGATAATTAAACGCAATGGCACTGCTCTGTCATCTAGAGGTCAGCTAACGGACAGTGCTTGTAATGCGCTAGCTGACCCTGAGTCAGTGGGCGTGGTCTGCGCACAGAGCAGCACTCGGGAGCAGGGCCCATGGCTTTACCTGTTGCGCTCCCCCAGCCAGCGGCATAGTAAATAGAGAAACACAGAAGCGGAGTGCTCACTTTAGTCCAAAGGCCTCTCAGCAGCAGCTGATATCTGTATGACACCATGGGGGATGCCCCGCCCATTCTTCATGTCATGTGTCACATCTTGGTTATGTGCTTGGTGAAGCAGTTATGGAAACTGCTGGGTGAAGGTCTCCACCTCCCACTCCAGTGGGACATAGACATTTGCTGCGGCGAGTGGCAGCCTGCCCGACTCAGGGAATGGTTAGCAGCACATGGGCCTGTGCCGTTTCACCCAGCTGAGAGAGTAGCCATGACATGTGATCCTGCCCATCTCATGTTTAGCCAGGTTTGCTTCACTGCAAGGTAACGGCCTTAATGCTGCTTTCACTCATGCGGGTGTAAATCAGGAGTAATTCCACTGCCATCAGTGGCATGGCAGTGGTGTATAGCTGGTATATGGGAGGTCAGATCCAGGCCCAATAAGTGTTCCAATTATTATTATTATGCTTTTAGTAGACGAAGAATATCAGGGGTCACACTGGTGGTGGTGGTCCTCTTCCAGGGTCCACCCCCCACCCATGACATCAGTTTGAGTTCCAACTCACAACAGCTGGTGTAGAGCTTTGTAACATGAGTGTCCCTCTGCTTTCTTCCATGCCTTAATCCGCAGTGAAATCGTTACCACTGTTCACATTTGAATTGTCATCATTAGGCTTCAGAGCGGCAAAATCCTAGCAATGTCATGGGATTGTTCATACGTCTCCCAGACCTATTGTCTGGTTCGCACTTCCCCCCGACTTCCAGAGAGCACTGCATCAGTTTACATCGGAGTCACCTTTGGAAGGTGTCTCTCTGCCACCATGAGCGTTAGAGCCTTTGGAAGGTTGCTGCTGTTTTTAACGGAAAGCTTAGATTCTGCGGCACTAGATTCCACCACCAGGGAAAAACCCGGCCTTACCGAACCACAACGCGACAGCTCAGCTCAACCGCCGAAGAATGGGACGTGCTATAACCCAGTACAAATCCCTCCATAGCAACGTGTTTGTACAGCCTATGTTACCACTAGCACTGAGTGCGAGTAATATATTCAGGGGCATTGCGTAACGCTAGCTTCAGTTGGTGGTTAAATGGAAAGTTCTGGTAAGAAGAGCAATAGATCAAGAAATTATTTTTCTCCCGGAGGTTTGTACCGGGGGATGTTGGGTGATAAGAGCACCGCCGAGAGAGCAGTTGGACAGATGTGGAATTTTCTCACGTTATTCATGACTGGTTTCAGAGGTTTCAAGGCGTCGTTAATTTAGAAGCACCAAGCAGTCTGGGTTAGGAGGGGTGTGGGGCTGGAACAGCCACCTGCACGGATATTCCAGTGCTCTTCCCCCAGTGCGTCTCCAATAGCCGAGGTGCTCCAGCTCAGGAGAGCACTGCACTGGCAGCACTTGGCAGGAACCGCAGCCCGATGTGCATGGGCAGAGCTGAATGGGAGCCCAGGAATGTCAGAGAGAAGCTGAAAGTTAAGGTTGAGCTGCCTTGGCAGAGCTGTGCAAGGGAAGCTTGTGTAGCAGCCATCTGCTTGATTCCCAGCTCTGGACGGCTCTGGCTGTGTCGTGCTTTCAGGAATGTGAAGGACTAAATTCATCCATAAAATAAGCAAGTGACAAGGCAGGGAGTGGTGCATGCCAGTAAGAATTTGCACTTGCAGAATGGGTAATTGTGGACACACGGGTATTTGCACGCACACTTTCTGGTTCTGCAAGTGCAGATGCATTTTTGCAGATGTGGCTGTTTGCTTTTGCATGTGCACAACTGCGCAGTGCATCAGTATTTGAAAATGCAGCCTGGCTCCTTCCTGTTGGTTATTGTACCTTGAGCACCCGCTAGAGGAATCTTCATGCTGAACCACTTCTGCTAAACCAGCGTCGGATGGAGAATTGACTGTCCCTTCTGGATACATCTCACTCTTTCTCTGTAATCATTCTGCAGTGCCCAGATGCTGCAGTATTAGAAGCCCTTTAGAAAGAGAAAGAGAGAGAGAGAGATTCTGGAAGAGGGCGGCAAGAAAACAGCTCATAGGGGCTTTAGATCTTTGTGTTTTTCCAAGAGCATCACTCAGTGCGCTGGATGACAGTTCTGGCTGATCACAATAATTTGTAATACTTACACAGTGCTATGTGAATATTAACTAAAGCATCCTCACTACATCCCTCTGCAGCAGGGAAAAGAATGATCAGTATCCCTCTTTTATAGATAGGGAATTGAAGTCAGTTTTCCAAAGCCACCCAGCCATTCGGTGGCAGAGGCAGGATGGGAATACAGGCCTTCCTGACGCCCATGGGCCCGGACGTTAGCCAGCCCAAAGCAAGGTGGAGAGGGGCTGATGGGAAGAGGCAGCATTTGCTGCTTGAGGGCAGGGGTTGACCCTCCACCTTAAAGCACAGAAGAGTCCCAAATTCCAGGTGCCCCCTGTGACTCGGACACAAGGCTTGGGGGAATCTCGCCTGTGAACACTGACACCCGGGATCACTAGAGTCTCACACAAAATGCACCAGGGAAAGCATTTACCGGGCGGGTTGAGAGGGGCTGTGGCTAGTGGCAGGTTACGTTCATTGTGCTCCTGACAAAATACCCTGGCAGGGATCAACAGACAATAGGGCCGGCTCTAACTTTTTTGCTGCCCCAAGCAGCAAAAAAAAGTGCCGAGCGCCGCACCGCACCACCCCCCGCCAGCGCCGCCCCCCCGCTGAGCGCCGTGCCGCCGGAGCCTGCCCCCCCAGCCGATCGCCGCCGGAACACCCACCCCCCCAGTGCCACGCCCCACGCCGCCCCCCCCGCTGAGCACCATGCCGCCTGAACCCCGCCCCAAGTGCCACGCCTCCCGGAGCCCGCCACCCCCCCCCCCCGCCGGAATGCCGCACCACGCTCCCCCCGCCGCCCCTTACCAGGTGCCGCCCCAAGCATGTGCTTGGTTGCCTGGTGCCTGGAGCCGGCCCTGACAGACAAAGACAAGTTTCAAAAATGGCCAGGAGGGCAAAGAAAGCGGGGGAGTAGCCGGAGGGCCAGTTGTTAAAGGTGGGGAGTGGGGTGCCAGGCGAAAGAGGGAATGGGACTCAGGGAATTGCATCCTCAAAGCTCTTACGTGATCAAGGATCCATGCAGCGTCCTTGTGCGGTCAGTGTCCTTATCCCCCGGGGAGACTTGGACAATGAGGGGAAGGGACTTGCCCTAGGTCATAGAGCGAGTTGGTGGCAGAGCCAGGAGGAGGAATGGTCCTGGCTCACAGATCACGCCTCTCTCAGTCGGTGAGGGCAGAGAAAAGCCAGGGAGAGCCAAGGGGGAAAGGTTCAGGGCTGGGGCATTGGCTACTGCCAAACCCCAGGCAGTACCAAAGGCGCGATGCGGGGCGGGAAGGTAGGGCAGAAGTCCACCTTTGTGCTCCCCAGCCTCATCCTGCGGCCAGGATCAC